TTTGAGATATGACTCGGACGGACGCACGACACACGGACGCACGAAGACCGAATTATAAGTCCCGTTTTCAGACTTCGTCCGAACGGGGACTAATAACCCACTGGCCACTCAATATTGAATTTGGCCACTCAATACCAAATGTAGCCAACCCATATCTAATGAGGTCAATCAATTTCTTATAAGTTATTTAAGGGGTCCAACCCATATCCGAATGAACCAACCCATACCTAATGAAACCAACCTGGAACAGCACGATCCACATCTAATGTGGCTAACCCATAAACCAATGAAGCCAACTTGTATCTGCTCAACATCTAAATAAGGCCAACCTGAGCCACATTCAGTATGTATGATATATGTGTGAAGTTTGAATGTAATCACTCCAGGCATGTCTAAGATAGAGGTCTGGACACATAGACACATGCAGTGTTCGAAATTAACGTCGGTCCGTCGGCCTCACGCCGACAGTGGGTGTAAAGGGCCTAGAGCTGTGAAAAACCATCAGTCCTTGTGACCGACCATAAATTTATATTTAAAAAAAAAACGTTCCATTATTTAGTATGATTGTAAGACCAAATATATAATAAATATTGATAGTAACTCCAGAATTGTTTCAAAATTGCGTTTTCTTGCACGTTTGATCAACAAATGGCATCACTCATCGACCTGGGCATACGAGTCATAATTCAAGCATGTCGAATGATCGTGAAATGCGCCGAACGTGGGAACTGTAACAAACAATCTGATTGGTTGTAGGCCGATCAAGCCTCTGATTCAAACCAATAGAATTCGCGCTTACATTTTATGTTCCGCAATCTTTGATTTGCATCAAACACGCTGAAAACTACACAAGAAAGGCATGACAAACAGCAAGAATACGAACAGTCTAGGCGTAAACCACGCACATTCCAAATTAGCTGGCAGGCGGAGTTCAAAGACTGGTTACTTTTTTATAACAACAACAAGGTGATGTATTGCCGGCCTTGTCAAGGATCATGCAGCAGAATTGATCCTTGTAGAAGCTGAGGCTGACGCCAATGATTGTGAACACGATGCAAAATGCATGTCAGATTCAGAGTCGGCCAGTGATCATGACAGTGTTTTTTCTGAAGATTTTGATGAGTTTAGTGACGATGAAAGAAATGATGATGACCTCTTTGAGGCTGCAGATAATATATCTGATTAATTAGTAAATAAAGGTTTTGCAATTGCAAGCTTGTATTATCCGTTTAGTCTTTGTTTGTTAAATATCAGGGCCTACAGTTAGCTAGAAGGACCTACAGTTTTAATTTGACATAGATCCTTCGGGCCTTTTATGATTTTCAGTTAATTTCGAACACTGAACTTATTATATTATTGGTACATCCATAATGGCTTTTCATTAGAAATATATACCATAAAGGATAAATTAACAATAAACTTGTTTCCTATTAACAATATTATCATAATTTGATAACGATTTATTTGTTATCAGACAGTTACAAGTGTATATTAATGTGCTAATTTCTGTAGAAATAAATTTATCGTTATCACAAATAATTGTTTGAATGTGATAGCCAGTTAATTTTAGATATTGCATCATTCGTATTTTATTTCAAACATGAAATAATACAGTCTGGTTTGAAGTGGCATTTGTTTTCATTTACTCTGATCAGCTGGTGATGAAATATAGAAATAGAACATAGCTCAGTCTATTGAATTCCACTTACAGATCCAAAGTCCTCAACATTCTCTTTGCCAGTAAAAACTTCTACTGAAGTGGAACGAACCCAAGCTCTTGACACATTATCTCCAAAAAAAACTACATGGTATTTTGCCTACAGAGTATGGAAAAATAATGTTCATATGTAAAACATTATGTTATGTCTAACTAAACCAGAATCTGAAATGGTATTAAAACAATGACACGTACAAGGGCCAAAACATATTCTCAAAAAGTTTAGGAGTGTTTTACAGAATATATCATAAGAAATATAACAAAATTTATTTAACATGGATGTAATACACATTATTTATGGCAAAAAATACAATGTTTAACATAAAATCTCAACAAACATTGCTACACTTTTATTAATAAAACAATCATCTGCAGTTAGTAAAATAAGTTTTTAATGTATACTAAGATATCTCTCATAAATATGACTCTAAGCTTTGAATTTGTATTTTAGCGCACTGATATTCTACCATTCAATTGTCAACAACTATGTTGTCACACAAATGACATTTTCTCTCCTTGGGAGCAGTTTGCCCTAGCTCTAACAAGACTGATTTTGTAGGAATCATTAGAAATATACAAATGACCAAAATGTATAATACTGTACTTACAGGATAACGTGACACACCATCAGTTTCATAGAAAGATCTGGTATCAGGATCCTCTTCTAACAGTCCAGGCCACCTAAAATTTGAAAATAGTATTGCATTCCTCTTATGATATAATATAGAAATAATCATTCAACAACATTTTTATTTCTGAGACATCACATTAACATTTTTTTCATTTCAAATCAAATACTGTACCACCTGAACTAACCAATAACTTACCAAGGATAGCCTTGCATTTTTGCCCATACCAAAGATCCAATAGTATATCTAGTGAAAACAAACTCATATTCTGCATCAATCTCATCAGTATTTTTCACTTGTGGTTTGGTACAAGAATTGTAATCTTCATCTGATAAGAAAAATGTTTGATAGATTAATTTGATCTTATCAGTAACTGTAGCTGCATGAATACAACTAGACTGGCACAGTCGAGACGATTAATTCTCTTTTGTAGTTCAAATAAAATAACAAATTTCACGAAATGGGGGTGTTAGCGCGAAATCCCCTGTAACTGCGAAATCACCCCGACTAGTTTATTCTGCAGGAAATTCATTGCTATTAAATATTCATGAATGCACATATTATAAAGAGGTGGGTGCGTAAATAATGAGGTCAACATGGTAAAGGTCACTCTGCAGACCCAACATGGCGGCACGTTTAAATTCAAGTTTGTCGTACTCATCGTTTCTAATTCATCACAATGTGTAAAAAAGTAACTCGTACTAGTCGTGAAATTAAAAAAATATAGGCTGCTACAATCAGCCGACGTCTTCTCAGTCAGAGGTCAGTTGAAGAGACGTTGTGATTGTCAATTAGAACACTCATTAACATAATTACCCGTTGAAAAATCGACGGGCTCCTGCAGTGTCGATAGAGGGCCATGCAGAATAAACCAGTCGGGGTGATTTCGCAGCTACAGGGGATTTCTTGCTAACCCCTCCAGTTCGCAAATTTTTTTATTTTATTTAAACTACATGTACAAAAGCATTTTAATCGCCCGACTGCGTCAGTCTAGATTACAACAGAAAGCTGTAGCAACCGACAAACAATAGTTTGCTTGGTTACCATGTGTATGAAAATGGGAGGGGTAGGCATTGACTGATTCTGTCCAACTTGTAAACATGATCAACATTAATTGGCACAGATATATAGTTTTTGGCATATATACCAGCTTGAGTTTTTCACCAAAAATGATGATTTTGTATTGTAGGTACAATGTATTGCCTTTATAAGTTTACAAAATGAACATAAACGTTTTTCATTCATACACATACATTACAAAATGTAATTTGTGAAATTTTTGTATCCATACATTGTAATATATCTCAGCCAAGGATGTATTCAACTTGTGAAAAAGGTGGAGGGTCTTAAAATCCTTCTTTCTGTCTCTAGCAAATACATGCTCAGTAATGTAGCTACCAGGAAATTTGAAACTCTATTGCATTTTTGACAAAGATGTGATGAAATGATCACTGAAGTTGTAAAGAAAGTACCTGACTTGCATCATAAAGGCAAAGGTAAAATTATCATTAAAATCTTGACATTGAGGGCGCCAGTAAAAAAAAGTAGAACCTGAATGTATATTCAAATAGTTTTTGCCGGAGATTTTGTATCAGTAAATAAATCATTGGAATTTCTAGAGACTGTTAATCACAATGACATCCTCATGAATGCTGTAAAATTACATTGCAAAAATTACAATTATAATTTGATGATGTAAGAACATCCACAAAGATGAAATTCTATGAAAGACGATGGTTTTAGGATCTCAGGGAAATTTTTCACTGCTAAAAGCTTTGTGAGTTTTCTTTTGTCATGTAAAATTGAGGTAGTCTAGATGTGTACAATAATAAATGAGAACTAAAACATAACAAGCAACTCATCAAATGAATAAGAAAATGAAACTAACCAGTGTTCATGTTACATTCCCAGTTGTCAGGTATAGAAGTAGGGTCACTAATATCATGTACTTTTCTCCATTTTAGGCAATAAGAGTTTGAACACTGCACCCATATATCATTCTTTTCAAGCTCTCTTTCAGAAAAACGCTGCTTCTTGTTTTTCTTTTTCTTTGTGTTGGTTTTTTTTCTTTTTGTTTTCCTGGCTGGATCATCATCTGGAAATGTAATTGCTAATAATCATACTAATTACAAGCTGAACTCTCAGTTTTATTAGTGTTATGAACTATTATGTGACATGTATTTGATGGTATGAATATATGGGAAATAAAGGCAAAAATAAAAAATAAATGTTTCAGGTTGGCGTGCATACCATCCAAAAAAGAGCAGGCTGATCTGTTTTTTCACTTATTTCGACACTGAACTCACTGGCTCATTAAAAATATATTACTATTTAAAATATATACTATTTTTAAGCATTATTCAAATTGAAAATATTTTCAGCACGTCTGAATGTTGGAGATTATTTCAGCTGACCATTTGGTTTGGTCTTCAAATTTCACACTGTAATTTGGAAATGCTTGAATCAATTTTTAAAAGTATTGAGAATATTTATACATATTACTGTAAAATCTGTATTAGAAGCTGCGACTGAAATGGTACAATGCAACAGAGGGAATGCGGCTTCTATTAAAATGGTACAATGCAATAGAGGGGATGCGGCTTCTATTAGAGCATCTACACATATGATGAAATGATGAGTTTTTGGTTCTAAATTATTCAAAAAGAATTGGTGTAACTTCTATTAGGGATGCAGCTTCTAATACAGATTTTATGGTATATTTATACACTATAATTGTATACATACCTTTTTTTTCTTTGTCTGTATTTTCATGTTGTTGAAATGTCAAATCAAGTTGTCTGTGTGTTTTATTTGTTAGCTTTTTCTTCTTAACAACCGGTTTAATAGGTCTTGTTGGCGTTTTACCAGTATCATCCTCAGACAACTGGGGAGTTACTAAATCATTGTGTCTAGCATAGTATGAAAATAATATGAATCACATTAAGTTATAAGTTATATATAAATATATATACACCCAATTTGCAAAGTCATTTCAAAATCTTTAAAAAACTACCGGTAGTAGGTGTGAGCATAGTGTTCCCCTATACTCATGAAAGCATTCTTAAAAGTACATGTAGTATAGCAACAATTATGTGTGGGCAGTAAGTAGGTACATGACATGGGGTCTCCTAAGTTGAAGAATGTCATTTCAACTTGTGTACAAGTATTGTGTCCAACTAAAATATTGAAATCAAATCTGGAAATGAAATTTGTCAAGACTTCAGAACAGAGTGCAATTTTGTCATGTCAAATGGATAAATATATACATAATGTATATAGTTTATATGTATATGTTTATATGGCTAGTAAGCAGAGAAACACTGGATAGTGTAAAATATATATATTATATTAACAAAATTCCTTGAAAGTCTGCTGGATTACCATATTTTAAATCTGGTATTTACTACCATATGTCAACAGAAATAAATTACGTCACATTGCTCAATTTGTGTATGACAACCATTGCTTTGAAAACAAGTTACATGTAGTTTAAAACAAACATACTAATATTTTGTAAATTTCGAGTAGTCTTGATGAGTTACTAATTTTGAAACATAGTCCTAGAGGACAATATTTGGTCGTCTGTGCATCTTAGGCTACTGTTAATTTTGAGCCCTGCCCATGTAGTTCACATTTAAAAGCAATTTAGTGTTATCTAAATAAATAAGCTAACATTATAGAGTAAGTCTGGACTTACAACTGAGCTGGCTGAGGAAGGATTTGCACATCCATCCTTTCAATTTCTTGTGGTGAATCTTCTTGAACATCACTGTTCCCTGAAGAATGATCTTGGACTTCATCACTGTCGCCCTTAGCAACAAATTCTGTATCTTCTTCATCACTCCCATTCTTAGTTACTGACTCATTATCTTCCCCATGTTTATAGTCTTCATCACTATCATCCTTGGCGACTGACTCTGTATCATTTTCATGTTGAAGGTTTTCATCACTATCATCCTTGGCGACTGACTCTGTATCATTTTCATGTTGATTATCTTCATCACTATCATCCATGACGACTGACTCTGTATCTTCATCACATTTGTTGACGCCTTTATTGTTTCCTTTAACTGACTCTGCATTATCTTGATCATTTTCATTATCCTGCATACTTTTCTTCAGATGCTCTTCTGAAAATATTATGACAACGTGTTGCAATACACATGTAGTTTAAATATTCACAGAGAAAACAGATTTATAGTTATGTTCCAAACTCAAGTAGATTAATCCATTAGTGTTTATTTCCATACTTCATATTTTTAACATGTCAAAGTTAAAGAATTAAGGATGGACACACTATATATAACTATAAATGGGCATTGTTTGCAATAAAGAAAAACATGAGTTGTATGAAATTAAATTTGATCAATTTTCAATTAAAAGTGGGCAGAGACAAAAGTAGGTTAACACTATGGAAAAATCACACTTGTACTTCACAAAGGCTTTGACGCCTTGGCACCCAATGAGTTTGCACTGGTACCTACCTATCAATAATCTCTATATTATAACTCCTATTATGCCAAGGCAATTTTATCAACGTAGGCCTTGAAAATGGGTGCCCTCTAAACTCTACGTTCAATTACCCACCATAAATTCCGGTCAGTCAAAATGACTATTTTGAACTGTAGGCATTAATCAGTGATTCTGCCAATGATGGAGAAATAAAATCTAGGTCAGGGGAAGCCCAATGACCCTAAGATTTTTTCCCTTATGTCACAACACACGTGACCGGGGTAATGTAGCGACGCCACCTCACCTTGACCTTCACTTTTTTCTTTATCTCTGTATCAACGGAGATGAAGTCTAGCGACTCTGCCTGGAAAGCCTGCCTTTTCCTATCCGGGTTTCCAGCTTGGGTTGCTACCACGGCCAGCGGTAGCCGACACTGGTTGGGAGGATAAGTTTTTCTAATTTTTTTCCCTCCTGTGTCGATTTCCCCCTTTGTGTGTATAATTTTTCACAAAAAAATAAATAAAACCTGATGACACAATTTAACCACGTCGTTGGTTTTTCTTGCGTCACCTTTTCCCAACTGTATTTCGCTTCCCTCATGCATGTCGTGTTCATTTTATGCTTTAAAAATGTATTTAGAAATGGATAGATGTAATGACAGCACCAGAGGCTCGCCGCCGGTTTTGTCTCCTCGTTTTTCGAGGTGACTGTGCAGTGGTTATAATCAGAATTTACCAGCATGGAACCCTGAACCGAAATGCTATTTTTGCCATGACTGCGTGCAGGGTTCGGGGTTTTTGCCTTGAAGGCATGTGTTTGTCACTGAAGTTCTGAAGCCTGGGATGTTTTCCAGAGCCATGCAAAATCACTGAGACTGACCACGTCGCTTGTATTGTCACAGCAAGGTCGCTTGTTCAGTAAAAATCGGTTAAAGTGAGTTGCGTGTTGGCTTGAGTGGAAAGTCTTCAAGTTCGGCTACCGGTACTTCGTGTACTGAGACGTTGAGTAGGAGGCCCGACAGTGGAGGTACCGATATTTTCAGGTCTCCACCCGCTGATCGGAGGGCATCCTCACAGTCTGTTGTTTCAGGCGGTGGTTTAGTCTCAGGCTAGTTGCTACGTGTCTCCTCTGGGAGCTCGGGCACTGAATGCCAACGGGGATGCTGGCAGCCAAGCCTCCGATTTTGGGGCAGGGCAATGTTTATACCCTCACCCTTAATCCTAAGGCAACCACTTACTGTTGCTTCAACGCTTATGGGATCACAGGCGCCGGGATCCAAAGCAACCACGTTGGCACGTCTCCCCCTGTCTGGCCAAGTGCTGAGTGGGGCGCAGGGCGCGCAGACGGTGTTGATAGACGGATGTTGGTCAGCCGCGGAGGAGGTAATGCTTAAGGCCCCCGGGTGGGGTGAATCTTATGCAACACTTTCCGCTGGACCAAACGCTACCCGGACGGTGTGGTTTTGGGATCAGACCCCAAAGTGTGGGATGAGACCAAACGGAAGCAATCAGACAGGAAGTAGACAGTTTGCTGGAAAAGGGCGCCACACACAAGGTAGGTCAGCCGGCATTGAGTCCAAGCTTCTACTCAAATGTGTTCGTAGTACCAAATCTACAGGTGGCGGGCGTCCAGTTCTGGACCTAGGCAGACTGAATCAGTACGTGCTCCTTGATCTGTTCCGCATGGAGACGCCATTCAGAGTTCTTCTCTCCACTCACCGTTTCGACTGGCTAGCCTCACTAGACTTAAGCGGGGCCTACCAGCACATACTGATGCACCCTTCGAGTCGCCCAGCTGGGCCAATCATTTGAATGTCGGGTGCCCCCCCCCCCCTTCGGGTTATGCCAGAATGGATGGAACAGCTGGTGCTGCTGCTTCACCAAACATCAGTACACATCAGTCCGTATCTAGACAACTGGTTATTGCATAACTCAAGCAAGGGGTTATTAGCTGAGCAAGTAGGGCTAACACAGGATTTACTTCACCAGTTGGGCTCTTTAGTGAATCAGACAAGTCCCATCCCTACCCAACGCAACAGTTGGTTTTCCGAGACATAGAGCTTGATGCAGAGCTAGGCTTGGTATACCCATTTCAAGCCCGGTACAACGCTTGTTGTTACAACACCGAACTCTCCTATGGGAACTAGACAGGCGGGTATTGATCCCGGACCAAGCGAAGGAAGCCCTGCCCTGGTGGTTGTCACTGGCCAACCTCGGACAGGGGTCCCCCTTGAATCCACTCGCCGCAGCTATGACTCTGGTAGCAGATGCCTCCCTCCAAGGTTGGGGAGCGCATCTATTGGATGAACAAGCCCAAGGTATACCTGCTGTCCCAACCAGACGGCAGATACCAACGAGCCCAGCGGTGTATCTCTTACACGCATAGAGGCTCTCATTAGACTCGCACAGACAAAGTCTTGTCTGAGCAGGCTGCCAACGTCCTGGCCAGGGCGAATAGAGATCCTACCAATGCTGCCTACAATTCAAGGTGGCGAGCATACACTCATTGGAGTAGCTGAAGGGAGATCGATCCATGCCATCCATGCCAGGTAGCAGACTCCTTCGTCCTCCTGTTTGACGAAGTGGGTTTGTCCTACGCAGGGATCGTTGGCTACAGGCAGGCCTTGTCCCCTTCCCTCAAGCACTAGGGATTCAAGACTGTACTGTACGACGAGAGATCTATAATACTTTAACCTCCTCGACACAGAGCTTGCAGAGACAGTACGAGTGCATGAGTTCTGTGCAATTGCTAACTCACTAGTGCTAGCGTCAGGCGCCCCCTACAACATATACTGAGGGCAGGCTTCTGGAGATCGCAAAACGTCTTTCTCAACTACTACCCAAGAGACGCCTAATTCATTCAGGAGGGCCTTGTTAGGTTGGATCCTGTCGTAGCGGGTCAGACTCTGGTTGCTGACCCAGCCCAAACGACCACAAGGGTCCCTGTGCATAGGCAAGTCGGTCTCAGCAACTTTGCGGACAGATTTCTCTACCGTCAGCACTTCTTTGAAGTTTCCTCATGTCCTCATGCAGAACTGTTTACTTCGAAAGCATACTACCCCCCGAGTTTGGTTTGGGTCTAGCTCTCGGGTACACCGAACCCTGTGACCGTAGCAGCAGTTTTGGCTTTTTGCTCTGGGGACAGCACAGGCAAGGTAAGACACCACCCTCTTTTGCGGTCTTAGCTAGGTGATGAGTGGTAGTTATAGAGTGTATCATCCCGGACTAGGAAAAAAGACTTTCATCATTTTCTGTTTGCTCGGAAAACCCGCCACGTATTGGCGTCTGACTCTGCCTACTGTTCAAAATAGCCATTTTGACTGATCGGAGTCTTAGTGGGTAATTGAACATAGTGAATTTAAGCAGAGGGTTCTTCCAACCCGCCTATTCAGATAGTTCACACCCACCATAGACTCCAGGTCCCCCCCCAACCACCCACTCTTTCCGTAGCGTTGGTCTAGTCCTCGATGCGGAGAGAAAGGAACCAGAGTGAAGGTCAAGGTGAGGTGGTGTTGCCACATTTCCTCGGTCACGTGGTTCCTGATGTAAGGGAAAAAAATCTTGGGGTCATGGGACTTCCCCTGACCTAGATTTTATCTCTCTGTCATTGGCAGAATCGCTGATTAATGCCCACAGTTCAAAATAGTCATTTTGACTGACCGGAGACTATGGTGGGTATGAGCTATGTCAATAGGTGGGTTCGGAGAACCCTCTGCCTAAATTTAGGCCCTGACAATGTCATTGTTCCCATGGAAACAAGCTTCGCTCAGAAAAGTATCATTAATTTGTAGTAATTTTAAATCTTCTGCATTTTTGCTAGTCAATACCATATTACTAACTTTAGCACAGACAGAATGAAAACGAAACTAATTTGGCCAATACATATCATCATCCCTATAAAGACAGAGGATGGTAGAATCGTATGGAGTACTGTATACATACTGTGTTCATCTAGAGCACATAACTACATTGTGCCTGAAAACTGCAGAGATTAAGACCCCCAAGTTATATGAACACCTCACCTCCAACATCCTCATCAAGCAAAGCATCAAAGTCATCTTTTTGTGGCTCCTGAACATCCTTTTGAGTGACTGGTTTATTTGTAGTGGCAACTGATATTCCAGAAAATCCTTTGATAGAAAAAAAAATCAGATTTATAGTAATTAACAATATATTTCTTTTAAGCATTCACCACATTTTCAATATCAATATTTTCAATATCAGTATTAATAGATATAGAAGCATTAACCAAGTGTAACATGATTAATTCGTTTCCTGTAGTGTTTTGTTAAATTGCACCTTCTAATGTGAGTTGTGCATGAATGGAGCTGTAATTTAAACTGTTTATTTTATTGCCAATATTGGATCGTTTACACTAAACAGTTAATGAGGTTCATAACACAAATCAACTTTTGTTGATGTGCTATAACACAATTTTCTGTGAAATTAATTAGTTTACATGAAAGCAAATGTCATATTACTATAAAACCAAGTCAGACAGTGAATCTCATTGCTTTATACTTTATATTTTATTAAACACGTAAAATTCCCCAGGAGGAATTAATTAAGACTAAAGTAATGATAAAAAAAAATAATATTAATAATCGAAATAAAAAAAAACAAAAAAAAACATGAATAGTAATAAATCCCACTAACAGCAATAATAAAGGTAGAAGAAACCATTGTTAAGAAGTAATAACAATAATAATGCGTTAATGCATTAAGGGTTACAAATTTTGGAGGTGTTGCTGTCTTTAGTCGAGGGCAGTTTTATTGAATTGTTCGAGTGTGATATGAAATGAGGTAAAATTATAACTCATTGTCAGTGCAAATTGTTCATTAATTGTAAAATTATCAAAATTATTAATTTTACATAATGCTTGTCTTAGTTCAACATTTTTCAGTGATATCAAATAGTTTTCTAATTCAAATTT